CGCGCCCCCTCCTTTCTCCTCCCCCGGCCCCGAAGGGTCGGCGCGGGCACCCCCTTACCCGCGCGGCGCGCGTCAGGCTCAGGTCCTTCATGACCTCCTCGAAGGCCGCTGTCTCCTCCGCCTGCTTCTGATTGTGCAAGGCGATCTTCTCGCTGAATTTCCGCGGATTGTTCGAAGTCGCCATCTTCTCGCCGCCGCCTCCTCCTCCTCCTCCTCCTCCACCTCCTCGCCCCCCCACTCGCTCGTGCCACAGCGCAAGCGCCGGCCGGGCCCACGGGCGGTGAGCACTGCGCAGGCGCGCAGGCGGTCGTGAGCGCGGCGCAGGCGCAGAAAAGAGACGCGCGGCGCGGGGGCGATAGCGCATGCGCGCGCCTCGGCGGCGCGCTTCAGACCCACAGGGAGGGAAGAGGGAAAGAGTGGGAATTTCGGCGCAGGCGCTTTGATCCGCTGCCTGACTCGCTGGACAGCGGCCGCCTGGCCATTGGGCAAGATCCAGAAATGGGCCGTAGGGCTGGAGACCCCCAGAGCGAGTCAGCCTGACCCACGCACTCGCGTTTCACAAGGGTGGCACCAGGCACGTCTCAGGGACAGGTGGCTCCCGGAGGCAAAGCCTGGACTCGGACCCAGAGCTCTGAGACCAGTTCAGAGCTACATTCATTTCCTTTTTTTCCAACTACATTCATTTCCTTTTTTTCCCTGGTTTTGGAGTGCTGGGGTTTGAACCCAGAGGCTCAAGCATGCTAAACAAGCACTCCACCTCTGAACACCATCCCCACCCTTTTTCTTTTTTATTCTGGGAGAGGGTCTAGCTCTTGACTGTCCTGGAATTTGGCATTCTCCTGTCTCTGCCTCATGAGTTGCTGGGACTATGGTGGATGTCACCCCCACCTGACAACGACATTCACTCCTTATGAAGTACCTACTATGTGCCAGACAAACTAGGGTTTGAGCATGGACAAAAACACGTGAGCCCTGCCCTTCGGTGCACGGTTGGGGAGAGAAGCAAAAATAACCCACAAAGACACGAGCAAGAACATCTGGAAATAAATGTGTGGAAAAATAAGACCAGTGACAGGCCAGCTTGAGAGCCACACTAAGGAGAGGGAAGCAGGGCACCAGGGCCAGGGAAGCAGGGCACATTTGAACTGAGACTTGAGCTCACCAGCAGCCCCAGTTCATATACCTGGAGGTCATCCTTAACACCTTTCTTTTCCTTCCCCCCCCCCATTGAACCAGCCATTCTGGACACATGAGCCCAAAAAACTGAAATTATGAAACTTCAGCCTCCTCTGTGTATTTCTCCACTTTGGTCCTGTTCAAGGATTTCTGCTTTGCCGTGGAGTGTTAACAGAAGGATCTAAGAAATTCCACCTAGACCTGACAGTAGAAGTTGGGGACAGAGTCTCACCAATGGCAGCAGGGGTGACCTAGAGAAGCAGGAGTTGCTCTGCCATCTAACTATCCCTCCCGAATCAAAAGGACCTCAGCCACCATATTGAAAATCACATTCAGGAGGATCAGGGACTTCAGAGAGGAAGCCAGGAGGAGCGACCAGAAGGATTTGGGGAGGCTTTGGACAACAAGCACATTTGTACTAGAGAGAGATGACAGAGGGAATGCTGATTATGGGGAGACGCCAACACTTTCCAGGAGTGCTTTTATTTGCTCTTTACAATGGGTCGATAAAATGTCCATATTAAATACATTTATATACATAGATTTGCATTTGGAATGGCTCGGGCCTTTGCTGCTGCCCTGTTTTTCTTTCATGTTCATATGATTTTGAGCATTTCATAGACTTCACCTCTTTTTGCCAAACCACCCTTCCCCAACCTTTATGACATCAACAGTGATCCTTCTGGGAAACCCAGTCAGACTTTCAGCATCTAAGGTGTGCATGGGGCTGTCCTCACTGCTCTTCCTCCCTAAGACATGTCTCCCTAAGATGGAAGTTTTGGCCAATCAGCACAGCCCCTTGCTCTGGCCATAATGCTTGGCTCAGACCAGACAGTGCAATGTAATTCTGGAATTTTTGTTTGAACCATGAAAGATGAAGACAACCCTCCCCCAAGACTAGTACAGGTCTTCAGTGCCAGAGGTCACCGTATGAAGAGGGTGGGCCCATGCAGAGAGGATAACAGAACCAAAAGGTAGCAACAGACATTTTCTGAGCTCCTGGATCCAGCTGTGCCTGAAGCTAGACATCCTTGCCTTTTCAGTTATATGAGCCAAAAATGTATTCCCTTTTTTGCTTAAAGTGATTTAAAGTCCATTTTTCTATCCCTGGCACAGATGCGACTGCAGCTTCTATGCGTGAGGTGCAAGGCAGCATGCTCTAAATGTGGCATCTATTTCTTGTTATCGTCACTTGAGGTCAGAGATGAAATAGAAATGGAGCTGGGACAGGGACAGCAGCTTCCCAGAGCAAGTTCAGCATGGGAACCAGAGCTGTTCAAAGGGCTAGAATCTGTCCTGACAGTAGAGCTCAGCTTCCTTCCTCATCCCAGGTTTTGTAAGGTTTAAATGAAGTTAATGCATGTCACCTGTTTGGCTCATAAGTGCGTATTAAATATCAGTTACCCTAGTCACTCACATGCATCAGCAGGAAGCCAGTTTCTGGACCCAGAAAGATGGAGGAGGAAGGATTTGGGAGGCAGCAGAGGTTGCTGGATATCAACAAGGGGCCACGCCCCCACATTCAGGACCCAGGCCAAGGCTCACCCTGCTCACCCCCATTCACCCCAAGCTGGGCATGTAATTTGATCCTTCCCAAACCCTGGAGATGAGTCAGAGGAAGCTCCCGGCTGCTTATTGCACAATGGCCAGACAGTGACCCAAGCCCTCCTTCCTGCTCCCTTGACCCCGGGGCAGGAGGAGGGCTACCCCCCCACCCAGGACCCATCCTGAGGTCTCCACTCCCACCTTCATCAAAAGAAGTCACCGCTGCCCAGCCAACCAGTTCCAGTCCTGAGCCCCCAAAGGCCTGTGGGCCCTTGACCCCCCCAGCCACCCTGTCCTCTTCCCCTGTGCTGCTCCCTCTGCCTGGACTGCTGTCCCCCAGATCCTTCCGTGGCGGGCGCCTGCTCACTTTTCTTCTGAGATACCCTCCTTAAAGGACTGTTGGAAGTGACCCCAGAGTCTGGACCCGTGACCCAGCCAGTTCAAAGGCAGCTGATTCTGGGTCCCTGTCTGCTTTCCCACTCACTGAGCTGAGATCACACCCGGGACTCCAAGGGCACCGACACACGCCATTCCTTTTTTTTTTTTTTTTTTTAATTTCTTTCTAGATTGATTGATTGATTTTTCTGGTGCTGGGATTGAACCCATGGCCTTGGGCATGTGAGACAAGTACTCTACCCATTGAGCTAAATCCCCAGCCCTTTTTATATTTTTATTTAGAGAGAGGGTCTCGCTGAGTTGCTCAGGGCCTCAGTAAATTGCTGAGGCTGGCCTTGAACTTGCCTCAGCCTCCTGAACCGCTGGGATTACAGGCCTGTGCCACCGCGCCCAGCTCACAATGCTTTATTTTTAAGGCTCGGTTAGTATTCCCTGAAAGACTGAGAACTTTGGGCCTCATTTTAGACTTACCTGTGTTCACTCTGTTTCCCTAGGAACCCAGAGCTGACACTGTACTAGGCACAAGGTGGGGCACAGAGTGTCTGCTGAATGATTTTCTCCCTGGGAATCTCCTATATCATCCATCAAAACCCACCTCCAGGCCTGGGGTTGTGGCTCAGTGGTTGAGTGCTTGCCTAGCACAGGCAAAGCCCTGAGTTCGATCCTCAGCACCACATAAAAATAAATAAGTAAAATAAAGGTGTTGTGTCCAACTACAAATAAAAAGTAAAAAAA